CCCCTTTAAGCTAAGAGAGTAAGAACCCTTCTAGGCAGAGCCTAGGTAGGGAATTAATCTTCAGAAATGAGAATTCAAAAACAACAGCAACAACAACAACAGCAGCAGCAACAACAACAACAGCAACAACAACAACAACAACAACAACAACAACAACAACAACAACAACAAACATACCCAAAGTATAAAACAAATGTTAAAAAGTAGTCCCCATACTTTGTTTTTTACTATTTTAGAATTGTCCTCCTGTAGAATGACAGGCCCGACTTAAGAGTCGCCCCAGGAGAAGAGGGCCGGTTTCGGGTATCCCGCGGAGGCCGAGCACAAGCCTGGGCGAGGCGGAACCACGGAGCCCACCTCTCGCCGGGGAGAGCATGCCCATTGTCTGGACGAGCCCCCGAGCCAGTCGTGACAAGGCCCCCAGACCTGTGGCCAAGGATCCTCTCAAGGACCCTCTGGGTGTTCCTGTGAGCGGTCCTCTGAAGGCTCCTTTCTCAGCGGTCCCCTGGAAATTCCTCCGGAGGCTTTTCTGAGCGAGCCGTGCGCAGGAATGTCGCAGCGCTCGCGCGCAGCAGGGTTTTCAGTGCCTTTCTGTTAGGTCGGGCAGCACTCCTCCGGTTCCTCCTCCTCCTCCTCCTCCTCTCCCTCCTCCTCCTCCTCTCCCCCCTTCGCCCCTCTACCTCCTCCTCCCTCCTCCCCTCCCCCCCAGTTCCCGTAGCGGGTTCGAACACCGCGCCGATGGACGACTGCAGGTGCCCATCAGGGCCGAGGCCTGCGCACCAGGCACAAGCCCGCTTCTCGCCCCAGCCACCCAGGCAGACTCACGGCCACTGCTTCGGGGCCTCGCCCAGGCATGCGCGAAGAGCTGAAGACTGCAGCCCCGTGCGATTTCCGCGCGTGCCGATGTGGAAGTCTACGGTGGGGGGCCGCTGCTTGGCGTGTCGCGGCAGCGGCGGCCACTGCGACACGCTACGCCCGGCAGGCTGATCGCGCGCCGCTCTGCATCGCGGGATGTGGACCTCGCCCACCAAGCACCTGAGAAATAACTCACGGAAAGGGTCATTCGTATGTGATAGCATGCGCAATGTGAAAAGTGAGCGGCGCGTAGCTCTCTGCGAAGGTAAACGCGCTCTGAAATGCACTAGGAAAACCACCGCGCGGCAATGCGCGACAAAACTAAATTTCGCTTGGAATGGATTTCGGCGTGCGTCCCTGTTCGTCTCCAAAGGAAATGCCACTACGAAGAAGCTCGTGGACGTTGATCGTTGGCGCGTGTCACGCCGCAGCGTGGCGGGGCTCAGAACCCCGGCGGCGCGACACTGCGGCCCCCTGCAGCAGCAGGAGGCCCGCTGGTGGGTCGAAGCATCCAGCGGGCTGCACCATGGCGAGCTGCGCCTGCGCGACCTGATCGCCGGAGAAGCGGCCAGGTCGCGGAGGGAGGTCGTCGTCGAACGTTGGCATCAGCAGGAAGCTGTGCTCCGCAGTGGCCCCACACTCTGACACCTGCGACAGAAAAGATGCAGCACAAAGAACTGCACGAGCGTGCGCCGAGGGAGGTCCGCGCGGAGTCCTGGGGGGGAGCACCAGCGGGGATCCAAGAAACTCGCGCGGACCTCCAACAATTTATGTTTGTGCCGTTTTCTCGCCATATCGCCCGGACGTCCACTCCCCGCGCCTGTGTCGATGTCGCGCGTGCATTTGTTCGCAAGGGGATCCAGGATGTGCCTCGGTGGTCCTATATATATATATGTGTTTGAAAGAAGCAGAACACATAACAACAACAGCAACAACAACAACAACAACAACAACAACCACAACCACAACAACAACAACAACACCAACACCAACACCAACAACAACAAACTCCCACGCCCGAGTGATATGCCAAGCTTTCGGCCCTCGAGCGCAAGAGACGGGAAGGAGGCCCGCCGCGACGACGAACGTCATCCAGTGCAGCGCAGGCAACCGCGCGGGCTCGCGCGTGGGGTCGTGTAAACTGAGCGCCGGCGGCAAACCTTCAGCCTGGTTGCCGCCGGGACCTCGTAGAGCTCCCAATCCCTTGCCATGGTCGTCGTCGCAGAAGAAGAGGCAAGCGGCTGCATAATGGTTTTTGTTTCGAATCTGGCTCGAGTAGCAGACCGAGCTCAGAGCAGATCGAAACAACAGCCGACCCGTACCGTAAGGATGCGCGGTAAGGATGCAAGGTCCTTGGAGGGTCATGCTAACGTTCTTCGAGCGAGGCTGGCCAGCAAAAGTCGCTAAAGGATGGGCCGAAGGGGCAAGGATGCACGGGTTACCTTGTGAAGGTTGCCCATCCTTACCTAGGAGGCAACTACTGGGAGGTCGTCGTCGGAAGGATTAAGGAGAATTAAGCCCCATTGGGAGGCTACTACGCAGAATTAGGCCGCGGCTTAAGCAAGATTGAGCCAGATCAAGCAGGATTCAGCCGGGTTCAGCGCGATTATGCCGGATTGAGCTGGATTTCGAACCAGGGCAATGTCTGAAGTCGAACTCCCAGGAGCTGCCTCCAAACCTTCCTCTGCGGGTGGACTGCGCTTCTCGTCCCTGCACTGTCACGGGCGACTCCGGGCGGCGCCGGCAGCCACAGGCTCGCGCGCGGGGTCGCGCAAGCGCAGGCCGGCGGCGCGGCACGCCGGGCCACCCCGAGGCGGACGCGGCAGGGCGCAGAGGCACGGGCGCCTGCTCCAGTGCAGTCAGGCAGCCTCCCTGGCCTCCAGGGCAGGGTTTGGGGGAGGAGGGGGAGGAGTCAGAAAGTAGGTAGCAGCAGACACGTGTATAGCAGCAGATAGATAATGAAGCAAGCACCGCAGACGTCTTGGGTCAAACGAACCGAAAGTCGGACTTTGGTAGCGGAGCTGCCGGTCCTCGGACCCGCGATTCCTCTCGATATCGTAAACCGGTTTACGATCTCTCAGGTGCTCTACGTATATCGTGGATCGTTCATCTCTCGACTCTCGCAGAGATTGAGGAGCTCAGCAGCTTCACATTTCACGTCTACAACAGCACCTTCGAGCAGCCGTACCGCGAGGGCTTCCAGTAGCTCGCGAAGGTCATCGATCGATTCTATCGTTGACGACTACCCCGGCAAGGTCAAGTACTACAAGGACGGCGGCGGCCATACAGTTCTACGTGGTATTCCACTGGACGAGTACACGCGGCAGTGTCCACCAGGATGGCGACCTTTCGTGAGAAACTACTCCCTGGTCGCCTATGAGGAGAAGCTCAGGCGTTGGATGAGGATGAGGGACGTATCTGGAGAATGCCAGGGCAGTGTGGGCGTTGGCAGGCTGAAAGGCTCGGCATACCGCATTGCGATGAAGATTCGGTTGCGACGACAAGATGGCAGTATGCTGTATCAGGACGCAGCGGTAAATGCACCTGCGGAGGCCGAGGATGTCCCCCAAGGCCTGCCTGCCACACCTTCTGGATTGCAGCGGATACTGGCGGACCTGCGCACGGCTTTTGGAGATGACAGTCAAGATTTTAAAACGTTTCATTTGGATCGGTTTTGTTTTTTGAATTACATTTTTTGAATTACATCGTGGATCGCACTCACTCTTAGATTCCTTGACGGCGTTCAAGCTACGCTACGAGGCGGCAGAAGAGCATGCAGTGTTGAACCTCAACCACGTCGGCCTAACACACCTATTACTTGGCAAGGCCGGCCTGGCCCCGAGGTTCATTGATGACTGGATGCTGAAGGTAGACGGCGATCGGGGCCAGTTCACAGAGATCTACAAGCTCTGGATGAAGTTCAGCAAAGGGCAGAAAGAGACTGGCGAGGGCGACCAGCAAGGTATTTTGTTGACTTATGATGATGACGAAGACGGTCAAGATTACAGCCAAGTTGAGTACTTCACCGATCATGGCGGCAACTGGTATCTCTATGGTAACACCTAAGAGCAGGCCTTCTGTTTCAACTTAGCTTCTGAAGATATGGTTTACCTTACATGGTCGATGATTGCTGGGATGGTACCAGGAACGCTAATGGGTTTCAAGCATGGTGCTGTAATCAAGATGATGATGATGATGATGATGATGACGGTCAGAATGACGATTACGATGACGAAGAAGCTCTACTCGACGATCCTCTCGACGGTCCTCCACATGATCTGGCTTTCTACGGCAAGCACGGGCAACAACGCACAGGCAAGGGCTAAGGCAATGGCAAAGGTGGCTACGGTCAGCGTCGCAAAAGCTTCGGCAAAGGCGGCAAGAGCAACAATAGATTTCGCTCTTTTGGACGTGGCAAGTCAGGCGGTAAGGATCGGCGAGGACGTGACTACTACGGCAGCAAAGGCAAGAATAAGGGCAAAGGCAAGAGCAATAATAAAGGCAAAGGCACTGGCTCAGACGATCGTCATGAACCTGTCATGGACCTTCACCACGGATCTGGACAGCAACAGCAAGCTCAACCCGGGCCTACGATGAATAACTCGAGGGGTTCAGGATCAAGCTCTGGATGCGAGATGTGCGGCAGTCGGTGGCACAATGTGAAATATTGCCCGGTCAACAAGGCGACCAGCAAGAAAGGCTTCTTGGTCGGGCTTGGCGACAGCGGCAAGGATATGACTGCGTTGGACATCGCATTACCTCCACCTCCTAGTCCGACGGCGGCCCATGACAGCATTAACCGACATCCAGAAGCAGCAGCAGAACGGCGGTTCCTGGCCTCTCTCAGGAAAGAAGAAGCGAAGAACAAAAAGGAAGCTGAGATAAGGGCTACCGACGAGGACATTGAAGAGTACGACAGCAAGGACCCTTGGTTTGAGCAACAATCAGATCCATGGAGACCACCATTGCAACCTCCGACTCGACCGGACTTGAGCGATGCCGGCTCCTGGCAGAATGTTCCATCGGAGTAGGCCTCTGACGCTTGTACGACGGTCTCTGACGATAAGCCTGCACCAGAACGGACGTTTGACTTCGGCGAGGCGACGGTCTCAAGGTTCTTTCGGAGCTAGCAGAAGCAGCAGACCATGGCTGGACTGGGCCTACCTACGCAGAAACAGTACCCACAGCTACCTGTCTCACAATTGACCAACAGGGTTGAAGCTAGCTCAAGCTCGACTGACAAGAATGTCTCAGCGTTCGTTCTCAGCATCTTCAGCGAGTGCGATGATACCTTCGAGGCGTACCATCTTGTCAGCGGCCGACAACGGAAAGGATTCATCATCGACCCTGGAGCAGCTTCTGGCATCTGTGGCACTGACACGTTGCTGCAGCACAATGGCAAGGACACGCAGAACTACACGATCACCCCAGGCTCAGGCAATTTCACTGGCATCAACGGCAGACCTACCACAGGACTGGGACACGTGGCGCAGAAGGCTCAGCGCTCCCGTGTGGAACTGGTCTGGCATGGCGCCATCATCGGTGAAGGCGGTTCCAATTGCCCATTTTTGTTGCCACTGCCTCCTCTGGTTCACTACAGGGCTCTGTTAGTCCATTGACAGCGACCCTTCGGACGTTCACGTGGTCAGTGTACTTCTCACGTATAGCAATCACTACTTGCTTCTAACGAACGATCCTGCAGGCCAGCAGCGCGAAGAACCAGCAGTTTCAGCTCAAGTAGTCGAGATGCTGATGCACATGGTGAACAAACAAAACATCAACGCCGCGATTCTCAAGACGGACATCACAGCTCTCGGTTCCTCTTGCACCCAGGAGGACTAGAGCCCACCTCTGCAGAAGACTCACATCATGGCATCAACATGTACGACTCCAAATGGCAGCACGGCTACCGGGCAATATACACCAGCACAGTATGGCATGTTGCGTCACTGGGGTGGGCAGGTCTACATGGAGGACACCTTCCCTGACTATCTCACCAGCGAGAACGTGGCGTGGCTGAAGCAGAGATACAAAGACACCCCTAAGGAGTTCTACACCGAGACAGGCTACGAGGTCGTAGCTCCAACCAACTTCGACAAGTAGATTCATGTCCACCATGGTCTCCAAGTAGTGTGGGCCTTTCAAGAGCAGTGTGGTCTGGATCAGGTCGGCTCTCTTTGTCAGCAATAAGGTCCAGGCTCACAGTGCTCTTTCCTGTTGGTTACCGCTACGGCTGGGACCTCATGAATCCCGAGCATCGCAAGATGTTGAGTAAGGTCCAGGCCGTTTTCAAGCCCATCGTGAAGCTGTCTGCGCCAGATTGCAGAATGTGGACGGCCATGAGTAATAAGCGAGGAGCTGGAGTTGCGGCAGCAGAACGGCAAGCAGAGTTTCCTAAATTGGAAAGGCTGCATCGTGATAATGTCGTTCAGGATCGAGACAGACACGGCTACATTAACCAGAATGACCTACGCTCCCAGCTCTGGACGCAGTCACCATTGAAGCAAAATCAAGACATCGCCAGCAACAGAACTCGACGAGTTGACGGATGTGCTCAGGGCTGTGTCATACAGCTGAGGAAGACCATCCGACGATGCCCTGGTCATGGAGTTCAGCGACATGCAATGATCGAGGGCTCTGCGCCCGGCTCGGGTTCCAAGACTGTAGCACTGACTACCGTGTACACTCGCACGATGTGCCGGGCACTCATCAGCAACATCGCCTCCTTCGCGCGCAAGTCCACTTGCGCCCTGATGTTCGCTGCGCTCGTCTACAGCAACATCGGCATGCACCATGGAGGTCCGAACGCAGAAGCAGTGCGAGTTCAGCTACTACACCCTCAGGCGACGGCACCTCGGCTCGGCAGCGACGGTGCGGCGGCATACGACATCACTACGGTCGCAGACGGCTTTCTTGAACCTGGACAATGGCGTGGATTTCATAGCACTACTACCAGCGGGCACCGCTGGTCAGCTCTGGCCTCGGTCGGGCCTGGCGTTGAGGCAATGTCTCGGCATCAATGGAGGAGTTATTGACGCTGACTACAGAGGCGAACTCATCGTGATACTGGAAAATCGTGGCAAGTCTCGCTTTGCATGCCAAAGTGGTGACAGGATCGCTCAGCTCATGATCGTGCAGAGCCACACTCCACCTGTGCAGCTTGAGGACCACATCGACGACGGCGAAACAGGACGAGGCAAAAACGGCTTCGGCAGCACTGGACTACATGCGCAGGTGAACAGCACAGAGGCTTTCTGGGGCTGTCTTGGTGCAAGTGGCGGAGATCGTGAGCCAAGCAGATGGCCTGGAAACTGCAAGCTGGCACCCAAGGCAGATCCCAAGCGGACTTTGACACGACCAGTGGCCAAGATACCTTCAGCGATGGCAAAGGCTACGACGGCAGCAGCGTCAGCTCCGCCTCGACATCTAGCGCCACCCGTTCCAGCACCCGATCCACGAGCATTAGAAAATCTGGACGATAACATCCTACAATCACCATCAATTTCGGCTTCGGCTTCGAGTTCAGCAACACCACCAGCAGCACTAGAGGCAGTTGTAGGACCTATGACGCGTCAAATGCAACCTCTACAGCGACCGGCCAACGGCACTGTCAAGATGAAGGTGGCCTATGACCGGCTACGGCGAGTCAAGGTGGGCGACTTCACCACGAACATTCACGAGCAGCTGAAGAATATTGACCAACTATGGATGGCTCGTATCTTGGCAGATTTAGCCGGACAGCACACAGGCATACTCACGGCGCCCAACACTCAGCAGCAGCTCAACGTAGGCGACGACGCCGACGGCATTGTTCAGATACTGATCGAGCTGCTGAGGCCATTGATGGACGTCGACTCACTACACATCACATTCCAGCCGAACAGCTTGGAAACATCCAACACCACCTCGATAGACGACAGCCCATTTCGCATCGTCTCTCTCGGCGCGGACATCGACAAATGGGAGTCTCCGGCACTGGAACGGCTTGACGGACTCACACCAGCACAGCAACATCATGGCATTCGCGACCATAAATGGCTCATTGCCGCTCAAGGACATGCGCCACCACCTACTATGGAAGAAGATGCTGAACGGAGGATCCTACCGCGACTCAAGCTCACCACCGCACCACCGAGCTTCGACTTCGCCAAACTACGTCAGCAGCTCCAGGAGACGGAATATGATGCCGCCCGCTTTCGCTTGCTGAAGGGCCTTCATGAACGACTTTGGCACGAACAGTTTCCAAGCATGGAGAAGTTCTTGAGGCGACTTGGTGTGCCGGACAGGTGCTTGGAGCTGGCTCAGCAAGTGCTTGCAGCATGCGAGCAGTGCAACGACTGGCCACCTATAGCCAGCAAGCCCAAGTATCGAGCAGAGCTCGCAGGGTGGTTCGGCGACTTCATGGCGTGCGACCTCTTCTTCATATTCGGCAAGACCTTCCTGCTCATGGTGGGCGAGGCTATTGGATGGAACATTGCGCAGGTGTTGCCCAAGGACGCGTTCCACATTGCACAAGCAATGTTACGAACTTGGTTTCGATACTTTGGACCACCCAAGTGCATCAAGTTCGACCAAGAAGGCGGAGTTCGCTCAGATGACTTTGCAGTGGTGTGCGATTGATATAGTATAAACAAGCAATTGGGTGGCTCGGACGACTCGGGCAAGCCTACAATCACCGGGCTGGCAGAAAAACGCAGTCTCATCAAGACATCCGCTTTGGAATGCAAGGCTAGTGTGGCCAAGCAAAGACTTGCGGTTCCCGACGAGGACATAATGTTCGAGCGCACGATGTGCCAGAACTGTATGCTTGAATACGGCGGCTGCACTCCATCTCAGTGTCTACACGGACAGAATCCTCGAGGCTTCTTTGATCACGGCTCCAACTCCACTCTTTCCATAGACGGCGCTCGTGACTCTACTCCCAACACCTTGAAGTCATGCCTCAGGCTCAGGATGATGGCCCAGACGGCGTTTCAGAAGGCAGTCATCGAACAGCGCATCGCAGAGGCAAACAACACCAGAGTGCAAATCCGCTCGGACGTGGCAAAGCTACGACATTTGCAGGACTTCGTCGACCTGTATCGAGTTCCTGATCGTAAGGATGCACCTGGATGGAAGGCCGTGTGACCTCCTTGACATCAACCTGAAGGATCAATATATGCCATAGATTGTCCCGGTCAGGCATGTTCGACCACATCAGGCACGATCGTCTGCAGTTGTGGAAGAATGAACTCCTACTGACATGCTGATGGATGGAGAAGGCAGATGGCAGGGTTACCTACGCGATGACATGCGCTGCATGGCTTACTTGACATCGTCGACTGTCAGGCACCAGCCGTCACGATCACTGTTGGAATGGTTCACGATGCCAACGGCATGCAGACTGTGGTGCCGGATGACTTGGAAGTCGATACTCCTGAGGTCTTTCGACTGGCCTCTCAAGTTGGCGAGGTCTTGTTGCAGGTATCGGCTCCCAGAGCCATCAGGTTCGGCACTCAGCTACCCAACATCGACACCTACCACGGCATCAAACGAGGAGTTATCCTAGCATGGATTCGGCGAGATCGGCTCATTTATCAAGTGCGACAAGTGGATCTGGGAAATACTCTGCGACTGGCCACCATCTTGCCAGACACGCCGAGCAACTACTATTTCATCATCTACGTATCAGACCAATACGAGGAAGTTACAGTTCAGGACGCGCTGCCAGATTTGCCGGACATCTCCAGCATCGAGCAGATTGATGACGCGCCCTGGACTGCTCCTACGCAATTTCTACCATCACCACCTCCGACAGAATGGTGGAAACCGCCAGGTTACGACGACGCACCTATGGACACCGACGATCAACAACCATCTCCTCAGCCACCACAGCCTCCATAACGACCATCGCAGATACCTCGACAACCTCTGGTACCGCAGTCGGCCTTCCCGCCGACCGACCCGTCACAACACATGGACAGTACCCTCGAGACGGTGTCGAGGTCAGGCGCATCTATCCTGGCGCCACCTGCACCTCCTCGACCTCCTGATGATCGTCCAGGTCGACCAGTGCCAGAAGGTGAGCAAAAGCGAACTTTGGCGGCAGATCACGACATCAAAATGTCGGATGAGGAGTTCGTTCCGCGAGGTCCGGCACCACGTCGAGCTACCACCTCACCTCGGGCTTCAACACCGTTTCGGCAGATACCCACGGTACCGATGTTTCCAGCACCTCAGGCTCCAGCTTCACCGGACTGGGAGCAAATGGCGCTTCCCGACTCACCTGTCGGCATGGACGCCTCTCGCTGAGAACCAGCAGCATCTGGGCAGCCACCAGCTGTACCAGACGCAAGAGCTCGGGAACATGATGGCCACCGATCTCGGACCCAGACATCAATCCTGAAGCGTGGTTCTATTTCAAGGATTAGCCCACGTCTGAGGGCTGACGACGACTGGATATGAGAGCGACGAGATCGACGCGTCAAGTTCGATGACATCGGCACGAGTTCACCACCAGCTAATACAAGTGGATCGCAAGCTGCAACATCGTCGGGCGAACAGGGCTCGGTGCTACCCATAGCTGGAGCAGCTCAAGGTGAAGTTGGGTATATATGAACTCGAACCAGTTGCATATGCCCAGCTCGACTTCCCACATCTGACTCACAAACGTCTGGCCGTCGACCTCATTGTGAGCATTCCTCTGGTCGAAATGGATCAACACCTTGTGTGGGTCGTGGGCGTTTTCTTTTCGCCATTGCCGCACTTGTTCCCAAGCATCCTGTGGTGTTGGGTCCTCGTTTTGAAGAAACGGTGCCCCGCGTCTCCTCTCCTTACTCCTCCTCCCCCTCCTCCCTCCTCCCCCTCCGCATCAGCCACGCCCACTTCGGCGCACCCCTCACACGTTTCGCGGCCCCATAGGGAGCTCCACCGAGGGCCCCAGCGGCTGCGTTCGCATGGCGGCACCGCGCCCATTTCGGCACACCCCTCACACGTTTCGTGGCCCCATAGGGAGCTCCACCGAGGGCCCCAGTGGCTGCGTTCGCATGCGGCACCGCACCCATTTCGGCACACCCCTCACACGTTCGTGGCCCCATAGGAGCTCCACCGAGGGCCCCAGTGGCTGCGTTCGCATGGCGACACCGCACCCATTTCGGCACACCCCTCACACGTTTCGTGGCCCCATAGGGAGCTCCACCGAAGGCCCCAATGGCTGCGTTCGCATGGCGGCACCGCACCCATATCGGCACACCCCTCACACGTTTCGTGGCCCCATATGGAGCCCCACCGAGGGCTCCAGTGGCTGCGTTCGCATGGCGGCACCGCGCCCATTTCGGACACCCCTCGCACGTTTCGTGGCCCCATAGGGAGCTCCACCGAGGGCCCCAGTGGCTGCGTTCGCATGGCGGCACCGCACCGGCACACCCTTCACACGTTTCGTGGCCCCATAGGGAGCCCCACCGAGAGCCCCAGTGGCTGCGTTCGCATGGCGGCACCGCACCCATTTCGGCACACCCCTCGCACGTTTCGTGGCCCCATAGAGAGCTCCACCGAGGGCCCCAGTGGCTGCGTTCGCATGGCGGCACCGCACCCATTTCGGCACACCCCTCACACGTTTCGTGGCCCCATAGGGAGCTCCACCGAAGGCCCCAGTGGCTGCGTTCGCATGGCGGCGTCACACCAATTTCCGCACACCTCTCACACGTTTCGTGGTCCCAGAGGGAGCTCCACCGAGGGCCCCAATGGCTGCGTTCGCATGGCGGCACCGCACCCATATCGGCACACCCCTCACCCGTTTCGTGGCCCCATAGGGAGCTCCACCGAAGGCCCCAGTGGCTGCGTTCGCATGGCGGCGTCGCACCAATTTCCGCACACCCCTCGCACGTTTCGTGGCCCCATAGGGAGCTCCACCGAGGGCCCCAGTGGCTGCGTTCGCATGGCGGCACCGCACCAATTTCGGCACACCCCTCACACGTTTCGTGGCCCCATAGGGAGCTCCACCGAAGGCCCCAGTGGCTGCGTTCGCATGGCGGCGTCGCACCAATTTCCGCACACCCCTCACACGTTTCGTGGCCCCATAGGAAGCTCTACCGAAGGCCCCAGTGGCTGCGTTTGCATGGCGGCACCGCACCCATTTCGGCACACCCCTCACACGTTTCGTGGCCCCATAGGGAGCTCCACCGAAGGCCCCAATGGCTGCGTTCGCATGGCGGCACCGCACCCATATCGGCACACCCCTCACACGTTTCGTGGCCCCATAGGGAGCTCCACCGAAGGCCCCAGTGGCTGCGTTCGCATGGCGGCGTCGCACCAATTTCCGCACACCTCTCACACGTTTCGTGGTCCCAGAAGGAGCTCCACCGAGGGCCCCAATGGCTGCGTTCGCATGGCGGCACCGCACCCATTTCGGCACATCTCTCACACGTTTCGTGGCCCCTTAGGGAGTTCCTTCTCATTCGTTCAACCTGCTTTGCGGTACTCGCAACTGCATATGGTTGGGTCCGTCGCCAGGATAATTTTTTTCTTCGTCTGGTCGTTGGTGACGCCAGTGATCATCAGCATCAGGATTTTGTCGAACTAGCCATGGTACTTGGCCTTGGCGCTGGCGATGGTGTCGAGGGGTAACCAATGACGACGGTCACGTCTGACAGCCCACTGGGGCGAACTGAGGGTCAACGCCTCCGCGCTCGACACACACACACACACACCCGCGTGAATTTCTTGTCGACCTGGCGGAACACTACGACAACTAATGAATGGCGACCTGGTCGACGCCACTGCCGCAGCCGCCAGAACAGAGCCAAACTGTGGCGCGCGGCACAAAAGGGGCGCGCCGGGACTGGCCGCAACGACCTGGACCAGGAAGAGGAGAGGAAGGAGGAGGAGGAGGAGGAGGAGGAGGAGGAGCAGAAGGAGGAGGAACAGGAGGAGGAGGAACAGGAGGAGGAGGAGCAGCCCCAGAGTGCACGCACGCTGCGTGGACTCCATCCGAGCCGATCCGGGAAGGTGGGAGGGAGGGTTGGCGGCGTGCGCAAGGGGGTTGGGGGAGGGGCGAAGGCTTGTCAGAGGAAACTGTTTCCTAAAGGCGCGGGCCTTACATCTACAGAGATGGCCCGCGCCTTCTGAGAAGCCGGAGTGTTTCCAAGAAGCCTTCCCCACTCCCCCTGCCCCCTCTGCGCGTGGCCGAGAGGGGCGGGGCGGAGGAGGAACGATCCCCCCGAAGCGACCCCCCTGCTTAGCTGCCCCGATACGCCACACGCAGCCCGTAGCGTGCTGACACGAAGCTCAGCACGCAGATTGAATCCGGAGGCCCGGCACGGCACGCCAAAACGTGGGCCGACACGTGGCGCCAGCACGCAACGTGTCAACACTGACGTTTTGAAAGCGGCACGCGCTGCGTTTCGCAACGGGCTTCTCCGGGCAGCGAAACCCCCCTGCGAACGTACCCCGAGCTGACCACGGAAAGCCGCCGCGGGCGCCTGGCCCGCGCCGCGCGGGCTGCCGCCCGCCGCGGGCTCGCCGCTGCCCGGGCAGGCGCCACCCGCGAGCCCGCCGCCGAAGGGCGCCGCCGCCACGGTGCCCTGGCAGCGGCGAGGGGCAACGGCGCCGGCGCGCCGTCGTCGTCGTCGTCGTCGTCGTCGTCGCCGTCGCCGTCGCCGTCGTCGTCGTCGTCGTCGTCGTCGTCGTCGTCGTCGTCGTCGTCGTCGTCCTCGTCGTCGTCGGTCGGCCTCTCTCTGGGAACGGATACTCCAGCCTTAATGATAAAAGGGAGGGGTCACAACCCTCCCAGACAGGCAATTCGAGACCCCCCGATCAAGCCATGAAAAAAGGCGGCCTTCTGCCCAGGCCCCGTGAAACGATCCCAAACAGCTCAAGTCAATCTCTCCAAACAATCGGGCCACCCCGTTTTGTTATACCACTCGGAGTAGCTTGCCGTCGCTTGGAGTTCCATTTCCCGTGCATGTTGTCGGCTTCGCGCGTTGACATAGTCTTCTCGAGATCATCCAGTATGCGAGCATGCTCCTCGATGGTCCTCGCCTAGAATATGAGCACGTCCGAATGATGCCAACACAATGGCATAAACATACGTTCGGAGCTCCGCGCGGACTGACTGCTCGGAGAGCGGCGCTGGACCCCCCAGGTGGCGCCGCTAGAGCCCCCCTGGCACGCTCCGCGCGCCATGGAGTGGGATCCCACGCCGATCCAAGAAATCAGCGCAGACCTCCGAAAGTGTATGGTTATAGCAATCTGCGCTCCTTGTACTGAGCACCGGCAACGCCCGTGGGTGAGGCGACGCCGCGGCCCGGTTGCTGTCACGGCCCCGCTGCCGCTGCTGGCCGCACCGGCCCACTCGACATGGAAGTCTTCCGCGTCTGAGTGCCCTCCTCCTCCTCCTCTTCCTCCTCCTCCTCCTCCTCCTCCTCCTGTCCTCCGCGGCCGCCCTTTCCTCCTCGCTCCCCCTTTTGCACGCCGGTCGCCCCGAATCGCCGCCCGCTGGAGCAGCTTCTCTGCCTCGTCGCCGACGGGGAAAGTTCCTCTACTCTCAGCCGCCTCCGTCGCTTCCTCCTGTAGGGCGACGAGCTCTACACGCATCCACCGCCGCCAGCCATGCCCATCCTGGGCCCACGAGCAGCGCGCATCCCCCCCCTGGCTTGGCGCGCCGTCGGCAGGCGGCCCAAGCATCGGGCCGATGCGTCGAAGCGGATGCTCGCGAGCGACGAATCGGCGGGCATCGGCTGAAGATCGGCTGCGCCCTCGGCGAGAGGCAGAGAGAGGCCGAGAGAGGCGGAGAGAGGCCGAGCGTCGGTCGGTGACGGAGGGGCGCCAGCGCCGGCGCACCGTCGGTCGGCCTCTCTCTCGGCCTCCTCCGTCGCTTCCTGCTGTGGGGGCGGCGGGATCTGTGCGTACCCGCCGCCGCTGGCCAGGCCCATGCTGGGCCCACGAACGGTGCGGACGCCCCCTGGCTTGGCCAGGGAAGCATCTTCCTATTCCTATATTTTTATTACCTGGAAGCCCCCCCACCACCCCCCCCTGGACCCCCCCCCTAAACCGGATCCTCCTCCAAGGGACGCTCCGGACGCCCTTTCGGACGTCTCGGCGGCCCCCTGGACGCCCTTGGAAAAGGTTCGGTGGCCCTTCTGGGCCTCCCAGGGCGCCTCGCTGGGCCTTGCGAGCCGACTGAAGGCGATTAGAGGGGTCGTCGGAGAGGCGCAAGAGAGACCCAAGACAGCACAAGAGCGCTCCAAGAGGAACCTCGATGGTCTGAAGACGGCCCACGAGGCCCCCAAAACACCCCAAGAGGCCGTCAAGAGAGCCCCGAAGAAGCCAAAATCGTCACATTCCGTCAGGAAATACATTGATTGTGCATATCCGTTTTTGGGGTCTTCGCAGCGTCCCAGACGGCCC